ACAGAGCAGGTGACAAGGAAGGTCGGATGGATAATTGAATACATGTCTGTCATCCCCTTGGCCTATAAGTGTGTGGGCGGTGGAAGGGGAGGACATGGAAGCTTTAAGGGAAAGGAGGCCAGGGCTGGGTGGAGAAGTAGCTGGGAAGGGCAAGTGGCCCCCACTGCCACCCAGCCAGCTGCCACTTACCATCAAACATTTTAATGATCTCTTGTCTGATGAACCTCTTGATTTCATCATAATTCACCATGTCTCCCTGAGGGAAGAGAAGAAAACCTACCTCAATTTTACACTCTCTCCTGGGAGCAGCCTTTATGGAAATAAAGGAGGGTAAAGGTCCAGAATCCTCCCACAGATTTTAAATCCAAAGTCCTACCTTCCCTGAGATGCTACTCAAGCATTTTGTGCAGAGCATAGTTGGCTGGGGAGAGGGACCTGTAACCCCCACCCTCCCCATGCAGTTAAGAGCCACCTAGACGGAGTCATGCTCTTTCCTGCAGAATGTCAGCAAGAGCTTCCAAAAGGACTCATGCTCCATTCCACATGCCTGCTCTGGGACAGTGCCCAGAGCTGCCAGCCTCTCCTTACCATGGAGCCAGGCACACCGGGCAATCCAGGGCTTCCCGCAGGACCTGGAGACCCAGGGTGGCCTCTCTCTCCTGCAGGACCTGGTGGCCCAACAGGCCCCATAGAGCCACTCTTGCCAGGTCCGCCAGGCATGCCAGATCTTCCCTTCTCTCCTGCCTGGCCCTTCTGTCCTGCAGGTCCTGGATCACCCTACAAGAAGAGGAAGTCACAGTCCAGCATTACCAGCCACCACCAAGACTGTGTCACAATGTCTCAGCAATGCACCCCTTCTTCTCCCTGTTCCCACCAGGTCTCCAGCATCTCTCCCTACTCCGCTTCACTGTCACCAGAGCAGTCCTAGTCCTAATGCTAACCCTAACCCTTCTAGAAATCAGTTCTCATGGTGTGGCTCCCAACTGCCCTTGGTATAAAGACCCCACTTCCCTGCCAGGCACTCAAGGTCATTCATGACATGCTCCTGGTCACACCTTCCTCAGCCTCATCTCCTGACCTCCAGTTCCAGCCAGCCCTCCCTAGTTGGAACTCTCTGATCCTGCCTACTGTCTAAGTTCTCCCTGCCTGGACGCCCTCCCTCATCCCTTCCCAGGGCACACCTCCTCCCCAGCTGAAATGCCCCTGTTCTTTACACAGCCTCTCTCAGCCCCAGATCCCACAGTGCTGTGTCCAGTCTTCTATTTTAAAAAAAAGAAAAGAAAAGTAGAAAACTTGCCCTACTCTAGGGTCAATATGGCTGGACGGCAGGGAGCACTGCTGCTCAAGGGCCTCTTTTTATCCCAGGCCAGGAAAAGGGGGTTGGATGTGAGTGAGAGGGAGCAGAGATTTCCATCCCCAGCCACAGCTAAGAACCCTGGAATGGCCCCATATGAGGCGGACTCACAGGTGTGGCTGCTCCCAGTTCTGCCCACTGGCCTTCCTACGTCCTTTCTGTAACTAACATCATAGCTTAGAGCTAGGCTTGATTGATACATGAGCCACTCCACTCAAACCCAGCCGCTGCCTACTCACCTTTGGACCAGGAGGTCCATAGAGTCCCTGTTTTCCAGGGGGTCCCTAGAAGAAACCAAAGTCAGGGGTCAAGTCTATGCACCATCTCTGAGACCTCTGGGGAGGTCAATGCAATGAAAAGATCATCTTCACTGGCCCAGGCCCCAGGCTGCATCTAGCTGGGCTCTGTGTAAGAAGAGATGACAGTCTCTCTGCCAACAGAGGGGCTGACAGCTGGAAGGGAGAATGATGTCCCCTGGGGCATGGCCTTGTTTGATCCTGTTAGCTGGGTCCCTCATCACAGATGAGAAGAAGTGAAAAGAAGTCAGAGTGAGAGGGCCAGTCTGAGTCAGTGGAGGGCCGGGCAAGACCTGCTGCCCAGGGAACGCTGTTCTCATTACTGTCTCTTTTTGACCAGCTACAGGGTTAAAAAAAAAAAAAAAAGCACAAAACAAGACTCACTGCCATTCTTGTCCTTGTCCCGTAGTCTCTAGTTCCTCTCCCCCAAGGCAACAAGAATTACCAGTTCCCTGTATACAGTCATTCCCCTGAATCCTGACTGTTTCAGGACCCTCCTGGGCACCAAAATCTGTGGAAACCCAAGTCTCTTATATTCAATAGGGTAGTATCTGCACAAAACCTACGCACATCTTCATATGTCGTTTAAATCATCTCTAGATTACTTCTAATACTAAGATAAGGTTAATGTTTTATAAATTCTGGGATACTGTATTGTTTAAGGAATAATGACAAGGAAAAAAAATCTATATATGTTCAGTCCAGCAATTTTTTTTCTGAATATTTCAATCTCAGTTGAATCCATAGACATGGAACCTGCGGCTATGGATTCTGTCTGAAGATGGTCTGCACACGCAGGGAGTGCTGACTGAACGAATAAGGAGGGACCAGGGCAAGCTGGGAACTAAGAAAGCCAAGCAGCATTCCCAAGGGTAAGGGTGCCAGCATAACAGTACCTCTTTGCCGGCTGCACCATCTGCACCAGGTTCACCCTGGGGAGGAGAGAGCAATGGACATGTGATAAGCTGTGACCCAGTTTGACCCTGCAAACCTCACCTTGCCCACCAGGCACACCCAGCTCCACCAAGAGGTGCCAATCTTGCATCCCTCACCCTCTGATGCCTCACACTCCAGCCTGGTCTGGGAGCCCACACTGATGGCTCCCAGCTGCCTCCTTGACTGATTTCTGCAAGGGAAGAACAGACTGTGCCTCTTCGCTTGGGATCCCACACCTTGCACACTGCCTGGCTCTGAGTATATGGTAAATGTTTGCTGAAGGAACACATGAACTGTGAGCCTCTGTCCTCAGTGAGATTTGCCAGGATGAGCCTGAGCCAGCTCCCTCCCCACAACAGGAGAGGTTGCCCACCCCCTGCTTATCTGCCTTCTGGCGGGCTGCTAGGGACAAAGAATCTGTGACTGCCCAGTGAGTAATAGAGTTCTGGGGTTCTGGGGTTCTGGGGGCTCCTGAGGGAAAGACCTGTCCAGGATCCTTGGCAAGAATCAGAATAAGCAGCAGAAGCCACCTAGGCTGTCCTGGCACATGGGCTAACTGCCACCTCTACACTAACTGGACTCATCCACCCCACCCCAGGCCCCCAGTCTCAGGTCATTGTGACTGCTACCTGAAGGAGAGCCCACGTGGTGGAAAGAACTTGATGGGCGGGGAGGTGGGCGGCTAGGAGACCTGAGTTACTGTCTCCTAGAGGCTATCATCCCAGAGACTAGCAATCAGTTCCAGCTAATGTGGGTCACCTTGTCTGGATATTTGCAGACTGGGTAAGGACTCAAGATCTAGAATCAAGTAGGGTGGGAGTCTAGCTCTTCCACTGTGTGACTCTGAGCAACCTGCTTAGCCTGGCTAAGCCTTGGTTTCCTCATCTGTAACACAGAGCCAACCAGATCGACCAAGTGGGGCTGCCATACAGAGTAAGACAAAATGTGCATCAAGCACCGAGCTCACCATTCAGCACATGGTCTGTGACCAATATAGCATCACTCAGTGCTAAACATGAGCTGAGACCACGTTGTGGTTTCTGAGGAGCTCAGAAAGTTACAGTAATAGCACTGCATTTCTGGTTCCTGACATTTTCAAAGACTGTGGTTGCTGGCAAGTATCCCTAGGGCAGGGGTGGGGGCGGGACAGGGACAGAATCTCCTCTGATAACTCATTGAAGAATTTGCATGAGGTCAGTGGCACATCTTCAGAGGCAGTGACCTGTGTGCACTGGCTGGCAGGGCCTGTCACTCCCAGTGTGCAGTTGTCCCAGGTATGGGCTCCTTGCTGTAGTCCTGCTATACTAACACCTCTCCTCCGCTGGAGATCCCAGGTGTGCAAAGCTGAGCCCAACTGGCAAAGCCAGCTGACCCTTTCCTCTGACCTGTGCTATAAGATAAGGGGTCTTACCGGGGGACCAGGGTGTCCAGGTGGGCCAGGCTGACCTGGGAGGCCCACCAGGCCCCTTTCTCCAGTGGCTCCCCGGTCTCCTTTCATGCCCTAGAGAATAGGAAGGAGAATGGTGGGTGGGGGTAGAAGTGGACCCCACCAAGCCAGAGGCAGACAGTCCACCATGTACCAGGGACCATGTCCCCACCTCCCAGGCCCCACATGAGGAAGGTTGCTGCCTGAATCTGCAGCAGGGCCCTGGGATGGCCTCCAGCCTTTGAAGGCCTAGCCTCATCCCAGAGTGGGGATCTTTGGAGGTAGGTAAGGCAGGTGGCAGAAGTGGGGATGCGACAAATTGTTTTCTATCCCTCTGGATACCTCCAGAAGGAACCCACAGCAGAACAGGGCAACGCTCCTGGGAGGGAGGAACAATGAGAAGTGTCACTCACCACCGCAGAGATCCCAGCTGGACCTGGCTGGCCCGGAGGCCCCGGAGGCCCCTAAAGAGAAGCGATGGAATCAGTGGGATAGAAACAGGCTCTCAAGATGAGGGGCAGAGGGCGGAGAGCTCGAGCAGGCCCAAACTGCCCTGTTCCATGCTCTTCCTGAAACCCTTCCTTCCCTCCGGGACACAGGACCCTCACAGCTAATACTCACTGAGTGGGACACCTGGGAGCTATAGCCAGAGGCCAAAGGCAAAGGGCCCAAGAGAATGAACTACTGTTGGTGTCTTCTGAGACCCCTGCTTTCCCAAAGGCAGCCTCACTTCCTGCTATTCTAAGGAGGAAGGAAGACCAGGATCTGGGGTCTATACAGCAGGGGGCGAAGGGTGGGGGCTCAGCACCAACCCAACACACACTAAGAAGCTCAGTAGCCAGGCACTCAAGCTAGTCTCTTGGAACCCTCTGACCCTGGGACAGTGAGGAACCCCCAGGGATGCCCCTTCCTTCTGGGCTGTCCCATCTCTGATGATCCATATCCTTGTTTCTGAGGCACAGCTCAAATGTCTCTTCTCTGGTCACAGTGACACCTCTGAACCCCAGGGAACTCAGTTCTCTCTCAGAGCACCTTCATCCACCTTCGCAGATGGAAAGTTCCAGAAGCCATGGCCTCTGTTCCACTCATCTAAGACTCCTGGGATAGAAATGTCCAGCACTGGAACTCTCATGCAGCAAGGGACCTGGGCTTCACCTACAGGAACAGGAGGAGGAGCCCTCACCTCCTCCCCCCAACACCCTGGCCCCTGTCCCTTGAGTCTCCACTGGGGCCACAAGACAGAGTATGAGACTCCTTTCATCTGTAAAGTGAGGAGGAACTGGTCTAGATCTGGGGTCCCCAGGAGAGGGCTTCTGGACCCCTTCAGGTACATTAAAACATCCACGGGGACTTGAGAATTCCTTTTTTTTTTCCTTTGGTCATGAACTATTTTTAACATTTCTAAAAGCCTCCTGGAGATTATGCAGCCAGCACAACAGGGCTGCAAGAAACGCCAGTGTATTCGCTGTCCCTGGAGCCCTATCAGCTTGGTGCCGTCACACTGATCAAAGGCACCAATTGGCAGCTATCTGCACTACCGATGAGTAAAGTAGATGGGAAATTCATTATTGCTTAATGAATGTCCTCTCCGAGTCTCTCCATCTCGTAAACACACCACCTACTTACCTCACCCAGGCCAAACTCAGGAGTCGTCCTTATTTGCTCTTTCTACCACTCCACCCTGCCTCTGCCCCAGACCGCCACCGCCAAGCACATCCTAGATCCATCCTGAGTCCCCTCTCCACTACAGCCACCCATCACCACTTTCCCATGCTCCTGATAGCACCTCTGAGGGCCTCCAGTATGTCACAGTGTCCTTCTCAAGGCTCAGCTTTCTGACCCCACTCTCCACCCTTTTCAAATGGCACTCCAGCCATGCAGCCCTCCCAGGGCTCCTCAGACACACCAAGCTTCTCGCTGCTTTGGTCCTGTGCATCAGCAGACCCCTCTGCCCTGGGCTCTTCCCCTGGATTCCTCAGAGCTGACTCGTCCTTTTATTCAGGCCTCAGCTTGAATGTCCCTTCTCCACTAAGTGTTCCTCCAAAGCCAACTCCTGGCCCCTCTGTAATATCACCTCTGCCTGATGCTCTTGCACCAGTCTGGTGCCTGCCTTGAAGTGCCATGAGATGGGGGGGGGCCTGTCTGTCTTGCTCACTGCTGTCGCCCCAATGCTTGGAACAGTGCCTGGCAGGGAGCAGGTGCTCCATAATTATTTGTTGACTAACCGAATGCCCTTTGTGATAAGTGAACATGGATGTGCCCAGAAAACAAGAGGCGGAGAGCTTGGGGATCGCTGAATCGGGTGAGCCCACAGCCCCTTGTAGCTCTCTATGTCTAGGGAAGCGCCCTTTCAGGCCATCAGTGACTTGCCTACCACCACCCACAGTGGCTTCCCGACATCCCAAGAAGCAGAGACAAAAACAGTGTAACTCACAATGTGGCCAGGGGGGCCAGGTCGTCCTTGGGGTCCCATGGCACCAGGCTCACCCTGTGGGAGACAGAGAAAAAAGATGACACAGACCCAGATTGCCTGGCACACCTGTGGCGACTTAGATGGGAGACGGGTGAGCAGGGAGGTGGGAATGCCATGGCCAGAGGAGCATGCTCTCCTTGTAGGTGAGTGGCACAGCTGTTTCTTGGGAGGGGACCAGTTACAACACTTGAGAGGGAGATGTGCAGTGCGGGTGAAACTCTGCCCCAGAAGGCCAGGAGAGAAGGCAGCCACTTTGGGCAGGAGTGGCAGGAAGCGGCTGCATCTAGATTCAGAAAGCCCGCTGTGTGCACAGATCCCACCTTACCTCTGCGCCCGGCCGGCCGCTGCTACCAGGGGGGCCGGGTTGGCCACAGTCACCCTAGAAGAGAGAGGGTCAGCCAGAGCTTGGGAAACCCACCCCAAATGGATCCCTCATCAAAGACACCCTGCCACCTATCCTATCTCCAGCCACAGTCCCTCTGGGGCCCTCAGGTCAGAAGGTGGCAAAGAAGAGAGCAGAGAAGACTTGCTCTCCAGAAGTCACCCTTACCTTAGGTCCTGGGAGGCCAGGGTGTCCAGTTTTCCCCTTGAAACCCTGGAAGAAAAAGCAAGGAGCGATCACATCCCTCACCTCATCCAGAGGCTTCTCCCAGAGCCTCCTTCCTCTGCTTAAACAAATGGAACCAATCCAGTCCTGACTTGGTGCACGGGGTCTGGAGGCTGGGAGCTGCCCACCCACCCAGGCTGAGGCTGCAGCGGCTCAGCCCCTTCCTGCAGTTCAACTTACCGGGGGTCCCATGAGTCCGGGGGGGCCAGCGGGACCAGGGTCCCCCTAGGGAAAGAGATCAGAGCAACTCATTCACCGTTGCCATCCCTGCTCCAGCCCTCCCTGGGCCAGCCCAGCGTGGCAGCAATGTCACGTGGGGCAGAGGAGGAATCGACCTGGCTCGACCTCTCACTGGCTGTGGACCCTGAGAGAATCCAGGCCTCTCTGGGCCTTAATTTTCCTTCTTCTGGGTACAGTGTGGGGGGCAGTGATCTTGATGCCCTTTGCCTGGTCCCATCCCCGCAAAACTCCGCCCAGGGAGAAGGGCTTGCTCAAGGCCTTCCATGTCTGCAGCCGGATTCTCTCCGAAAGCCTAGTTTCTTTAGTTGCCTGAGTTTCTATTTAAAATGTCACTGTCCTGCCTTGGTGAGCCCCAGCTCAGAACCTTGTCTAGCCTGGTGAAGGCCATTTGATCTGAGAAACCGGGGAGGGTGCAACAGGAGAGAGCAAGGGGGGAATGGACATCCCCGACAAAGGGGAGGGGCACTTCAGTTCCCTTCACCAGGGCTCCCTTGGCTTTGGCTCTTAGAGAAGGAGAGGAAGAGGTGCCTGCCCTCCCTGGCCACCATCTCACCCTCAGGCCGGGCTTGCCATCCTTCCCGTCTAGACCGTCCAGGCCGGCCGGGCCCTAGAGACAGGAAAAAGGCGATTCTACAGGCTGTGTCAGGGCCCTGGGAGGAGGGAGAGCCGA